GTTACAGACAGTGTAAACCTCAGGTTCTTTTCTTTGTGTAGAGAAGTAGATGGAAGTTTGAAATCACTTCCCAGAAACCATGTTAACTGCGGAATGGGGCTGGAACGCCTGGTTTCTGTTATCCAACAGAAACATTCAAACTATGATACGGATCTCTTCATGCCTCTGTTTGCTGCAATTCAACAAGTAGGTTGTAATGTTTTGAATGTGTAGTAGTATTGTATGAAATCCTAAGGGAAAACAGGTACTGTAACTGTGATTTTCTGAACAGTTCACATTTTGAGGTACTGAAATATCCATACTCTGAAGTATTAAAGTTGAAGTAACAGGATTATAAGAAATTGGTAATCTTTTAACCTTGTCATGTCTTAAACACTCACAAATGCTGTCTTTCCTAGTGTTAGCACTTAAAAAAGAGTCTTAGCTTGTGTCTGCTATTGATATGTGTTGAAGAGTTAACTATGTTCTTGATAATACAATATGAGATATGGGGGCATAGTTGCCTTCCCATATTTGCTTCAGTGTTTAACCAATGTCTTAATGTAAAATAATGTAAGTATCTGTTGTAAAACAATAATGTAAATATCAGGGTTACATTATTCTTGGCCCACAGCCACAGGGTACAGGAGTACCACCATACAAAGGTCATGTTGGTGAAGATGTGGATGGCATGGACATGGCTTATTGCGTGGTGGCAGACCATGCTCGAACTCTGACAATAGCTTTTTCTGATGGAGGATGTCCTGATAACACTGGCTGAGGGTAAGTTAGTGCCTTTTACTATTGTTGTGGTGTGTGTAGTATACTCTGTTTAAATTTGTTTGGGTATCAACTGCTTTTGCTTAAAGTTGTTTATAGTTTTCCTTAGAGTTTCCAGGTAAATGTTGGACTAATGAAACTCAGAGATAGTTCTCCCTTTTTAAATTTACTTAAATACAAGGTTTACCAGAAATTAGACCTTGTGTGTATCTTGTTAAGCTTTTGTTAATAATAAGTTTGTGTATTTATATTTCCTCGTATTGAAAGTCAGTTTTCTTTTCCCCTCAGCTATGTTTTAAGGCGCATTCTGCGATGAGCTGTGAGATATGCAACTGAGAAGCTGATTGCTAAGCCTGGTTTCTTTGCAACTCTTGTTAACACAGATGTTGACATTCTAGGGGATACATTCCCAGAGCTGATTGCTAAGCCTGGTTAAGTTGTTATTTATTTTATATATATATTATTTTTTTTGTTCAGCTATCAGCTTTCAATCAATTAGACAGATTT